GAAAGAGTGCCATAACTATATCTGCATATAGCTATATACATAGCTATATATATATAGAGAGAGAGATATCATTATGGCATTATTCCACCATATATATGTGTGTATGTGTATTTTATTTATTTATAGATATAGAGATAGATATATAGATATATATATATGTATATATATATGAGTCTGACAGATGCTCAGAGAAAGCTCTCTAACTTTATAATATGAATTTATAAGAGGGAGGGAGGGGAAAACCCCTCAAAATTTAACTTGTGACATTTTGATGCATGGCCATGAAGGGGATATTTTTAAATACTTTGCCAATATGTGTGTAACAGTGCATATTGACTTTATTTTTTAAAGTTCAAAATATAATCTCCTCTGGTGGAAAACATTTAACCCCTGTATTCTGCCAGTCAAGATATCCTTTTGGAGTTTATAAAACCAAATGCTGAGATCATCATAAGCCACCATCTGCACTTAATGTTACATTGTTCTGCTGGGATGAAATCCATTTAAGCCTGTGGAAAGTTTGAGTTCTTTGGTTCTTAATGTAAATAGAGTGGATGGATCAGGGAAGAAATTCACATAGAAAACATTCTGGTTAAGGGTTCAGTCCCATATGTTCAGTCTCCAGAGTCAAGATTTTTTTCACTGAGATTTGCAAACAGAGGTATTGGAACAGAGTCTTTGTAACTTGTATGCATTAATGGGAGCTTTTACTAAATGTACTTATATGCTATGTTAATTTGCAGTGGAAACTGAAAGATTTATTTTACAACAATTATTAATTTAAAGTGAAAGTCTTAAAGTCAAGTGTTAGACCTGACTAGGACAGGAACTCCTTCAGGAAAGTTGTTTGTATGTGTTTGAATTTACTTGTTTTTCTTTTTCTTTTTTTAAATTAAACTTCATGGAGTTCCTTTTAATTAATGTGAATAGTACAATACCTTCTGGCACATTGCCTTCTCTCCTCTCATCATTGACAGAATTCTGTCTCCTCTTCAGCCTGTGATCAGCTGTCCCTTGGGGTGGCAGCCATCTTTGGACCTTCCCATAGCTCCTCAGCAAATGCTGTGCAATCCATCTGCAATGCGCTTGGTGTACCACATATACAGACTCGCTGGAAACATCAGGTGTCAGACAACAAAGACTCCTTCTATGTTAGCCTCTACCCAGATTTCTCTTCACTCAGTCGCGCTATCCTTGACCTGGTGCAGTTTTTCAAGTGGAAAACCGTCACTGTTGTGTATGATGACAGCACTGGTAAGTCGAATCAACTGGATTACATACTCTTGTATTTGTGTGTGCATGTACATACGTGTTTTCTAATTATTCTAAACTTTTAGTTTAAATGATCATCAATACTCATAACTGAAAGATGGGTAATTCTATCAGTAAAATGCTGCATAACATGCAATTGTTACATATGGTTAGTGTAACAGGGGACCTTTTTGGGGCCGATTTTCCTGTGGCCTGCCCACCTGTTTCTGGGCTAACCGCCTGCCATGCCTTGTTGTTAGTTAATTAATTGATGTTAATTAAGCAGGAAACTGCCCATTTCTTGCCTCAATGCCAGGGGGCGCTATCTGCAGCTGCATTCCTCCCCTATACCGCAGCCCAAGCTTCACAGATGGCATCCAGCTGTTGTCGATATCACCAGCCTCATACTGGGCCCCAGAATCCTGCTATTTGAACCCCACCTGGATCCCTCCATTCAGGCGGCCTATGCCGCCTTCATTCTAGGCTGCATAGCTCCCTGAGCTGCTTTCCCCTTATGGGTGTGGTCCCCCTGGGACCTTTGGCTCTATTGGCCCTGGCTCACCTCCAGGCCAGTCAGAACCCCAGGGCTTCAGCTCTAGGTGTCCCTCATGGTGGGCCCCTGACCCTTCGACCCTTCTGGTCCTGGCCCCAGCATAGACCAGTCAGGGGATGTCAAGACAGGTTTGAGTCTATGGCTCCACTCTCTCACTGGGGTCCATCTTCCAGATCCTACAAGGATCCGGTTGTGGGAGCTGGGGTTAAGGTGCCCCAATGGAGTGGTAACTGGCCTGGCATTTCCTGGGGGCTCCTGCACCACTGAGGGCCCCACCAGGCCACCCACTCCCGGCAGGGTGAAGTTTTAGGTCATGCCCAGGACCAGGAGCCTCCTGACCATCCCCTACAGCTCCTGCCCTTACCTCCAGATGATACCTGCAGCCAGGCAATGTTGTTGCCTGGCCTTCCAGCAGCAAAATTCCCTGTTTATATGGGCAGCCCTGAATCCAAAATGGCTGCCCTCATCAGGCATCTCCTGGCTGCTGTCTTCAGGCCCTTAAAATGGCAGGCACAAACATGCCCTGCCACAGCTGGGTTTTTTTTAATTAAAAGAAAGAAAGAAAGAGAAAAGGCAGGGATCCTAAAAACAGAAGGCAATGGGAAAGGGGTGATGGCATGCCTTGCAAGTGTGTACCAGTTGATTTTTGGCCTTGCCCCCTGGCGTTAGCTAGATGGGAAACAAGCCAAAAAGGTTTCTTGCTTTCATCTATTTTCACTTCTGCATAGGACTGTTGAAACCTGCAGTCTAAGATTTGCAAAGGGATTTGCAAAATTAATTCTGCAGTTTGGCTCTGAGAAGTTGAAAGCAAATTAACCTTGAAGACTTCCTCTGTAGACTAAAATTTGATAAAATTAAACATTTAACTTCCAAGGGGGATTCCTGATATTCCATATCATTCTACCCCTCCACATCTGTTCTGCCCTGTCAAGGACTATCATGCTTCAAATAAGCCCTGAACACTTCCTTCTTATTTGACATCTCTTCTAGGAAGTGCAAGGTCAAAACAAGGACTTGATGAGAGAAAGAGATGACTGTTGGGAAAGAGGCAGGGAAGCCAACTGGAACAAATTTAGTAAGGAAGCTTCATGGACGCTGACTCCATCCCAGTTTTGCTGAATGGCCACTATGGGTCAAGCTCTTTGAGCAAAATGAACCTCAAGATTATATCTTAGTTAAATGGGCCTGGGATTTATGGAAAATGTTTTTGTGTAACTTGGCCTCTAGCTGAAACTTACAAGTCCAAAGACAGATGAAAGCTAACATTTTAAAAAGGAGGAAATGTATCAATGATCAGTATTGCATTAAGAGGTGGATGTAATCCCAGTGGAGGCCTGGTGTCCTTGCAACAGTACAAATATATAGTTTCTACATATGTCTTCAGCTGATGAGACAAACCAAGAAGTGTAACATAAAAATGATGTGGAGGTGAGCGTGAGTGATAACAACTATAGGAATAGCCTAGCTATGAACAGAATTAGCAGTGCTTAGATACAAATAAAGAATAATTGTTTGCTGGCATATATTATTTACTAGGAATTCAGCCTAGTCATTTATCAGGAGTAATGTTTCATAAACAAAAGATGATCAAACTTATCTTCAAGCTTAGCAGTATAATCTATAGAGATGGGTATGGAATGATGTTCCTGTTCCACAATTTTTTTTTATTTCAAAATGTTCCTGTCCAGATAGGGACAAAGGTCACAACATTTTTAAAAATGTAGTAAAAATGAAAATGAATTGGTGATTTATTTCAAGTAATTGGAAATGTTTTATTTGAATAATTCTGAAATATTTAATTTAATTTTTATTGGTTTACAATTTGTTTAATATACAGTAAATTAATTTCTAATGGGAGAATGAATTTCTCCCTTTAAAAATGTCCATTTTTTGCATTCTCAAAACTTATTTTTTCAAATTGATACTCATGTTAAATAATCTATCCAAACATGAAAAGTTTGTTTCAATGTATCTTTTTCTTGATGAGAGATGTGGGGTATCTGGGTGGAGGGGAGAAGGGGAGGACAAGATGAGGGTTTGTTTGTTCGTTTTGCTTTCTTAAATTTTTGATACCAGTCAAAAAAAAATTGCATAGTGATCATGTAGACTGGAGATTTTAGGTTGAAGGGGTATCTCTTGAACTTGCTGTATACTGTCCATATAAACATAGACATAGCATGTTGCTTACACAGCTGCAAAAGTGTGTGCATATAAAGATAACAGTTAATATAATGCAAATGCCTTTTGTTGTTGGTTAGTTCTCCTCAGAAATAACCATGAACAAGAAACTCATTGCTGTACATTTGTAAAGTTGGTATAGCATTCTTTTTTTGGTTCCTTATTAATTTATATAAAATATTCATCAATTTCTAAAGTCTCCTTGAATATTCACCTTTTAAAACTGCCAGCGCCAGCTGAGAATTTGCAATACCAGCTGAAGCATCTTGAAAGATGGTCTCTCTAGACGGGGGTTGCAGGGAGGGCGACACTATTTTAAAAAGTAAACTTTCAATCTTTTCATGGTCTTGTCTGTAAATAAATTTAAAGTCTACTTCTTAAAAACTGCCAGCATCTCTTTGTTGAGAGCAGCTCCCTTGGATACTTCAAATGCTTCAAAGGCAGGACACGCTGCTGGGAAGTCCACAGCATTGTCTGCCTTTGAAGTACATGTGGGAGCAACTCTTAGCTGTGAGAAACTGTCAATCTTAAAAAACCTAGACTTTAAATCTTGTTACTGCTGGCCTGCAAACAGATTTAAAAAACGCTTTTTGAAGAAGACAGCTACTCTGGTCTGAGAGGGGTCCAGGCCCCTCATGGATACGTCTTATGTGAAAAATTCCATGGTTGAAGGCTTGGGTTGAAACCAAAAGAGTTTCATCTAATGCTGAAAGACTGAATCTAATAGAGATCCCAGAGGCTTAATTTCAAAGCCACTGAAATGAATGGGAACAATAAATAAAGCAAAAATTGTTTATTTTTGTATACACATCTTGGCTTTCTAACCAGGGCCATAGAGAACCTGAATATAGGATCAGTGAATATTTTCTTCTCTACTGCTATCCCTTCTCCTCTCACTCTAAGAGCTATTTAGGATTGATGGCAATATTAGCTGTTCAGATTCATGATATAGTTCCTTGATAATAGAATTTCTCTTTCCAAATGAATATTTCCAAACTGGACATTTTTTCATAGGAATGGTAACAATATGCTCCAGAAGTTATGTGGTATTCTTTTTTTCCTTCTTAAAAATGATCATTTTAAAAAGATGTATTTACTTTGTATAATCATTATTTCTGTAAGTATTTAAGTATTGCTCGCAATGTGGAATTGTATTTAAGGGAAAAAGTGAAGGGTAGTTTGAAAGCATATACTGATTTATACTTTAACAGCTTTTGGATATTTTAAAGGATACATCTCCAAATAAAACCATGAGTCTGTGCACACTGGGGAAATGAAGATCTATTAACCACCCCCCCCAAAATAGGGTCTCATTTTTGATGCAGCATTCAGGATGTTTGTTCATTAAATAGTCTCAGTTATAGGTGACAGGTGCTGGTTCATGTGATGTTTTCTTTCTGAACAAGCTGGATCAAGTTCAATCTTGCTATGGTAGAAGTGCATAAGACTCCCACTGAGAAAGTAGAACTTGAAATGGGTCACTCTTTGGAGCCACAGAGGCTAACTGAATCAGAGATGGATGAGCTTTCCTGAGCAAGAATTCACTTCATCAGATGCAAAACACACACACACACACACACACACACACACACACACAATTGCCCATCAAGAATATTGGGGGGGAGGCAGGGAATGGAGCAGCACCACCAAACGCCCTGTGCTGCCACCACTCTGCCTCTGGCCTTGTGGGGCCTCCCCACCCTGCTGCATCTGCTCTGGCTCCTCTGGCCCTGCTGTCATAGCGGCACCATTCCCCCACTCTGGCCCTTAACACTCTGCTGTCATGGTGGTACTTCTGTCTGTGCAGAACACTCTGACTGGTTGTTTCAGTAAGCATGGTGATTGGCTGCTGAGACAACCAATCAGAGTGAGCAAAAAAGTGTTATGGACAGACAGACAGACTACGGCTTGTATAATATTAGAATATTTTAGGTCTTTTACTGAATACAGAAGACAGTCTCATAATGGATAATGCAATGAAGGCTGGAGTATTGAAAACTTTAAAAAATTTCACAAGGAAGGTCAGCTACCAGATTATGTGTGTGTACAGTTGGAAGCAAGGATAGGGGAGGAGATAAGCAGCCTATAGCAGTGAAAGAACAATTTCAGGTATATTTAGAGAAGCTAAATGTTTTCAACTCAGCAGGGCCAGGTGATATGCATCCTAGAATACTGAAGGAATTGGCTGAGGTAATTTCAGAGCCCTTAGCTGTTATCTCTGAGTGCTTGTGGAGGTTGTGTGAGCTCCCAGATGACTGGAAGAAGGGAAAAC